GTTTCTTACAAAGTTATTCGTGAATGAGGCCCATTGTACTTTCTCACTTCAACCCCCATCAATGCCAACATACATCATTATCTAACAGTTCTTTGTTGTGTTTGTGGCAGATCTACAAAGTCCATCTACAGAATGGGGTTCGCCTGTGATCAGTGTGGAAAGACCTGCAGCTCTGCTTCTGCACTAACAATACACTATAGAACTCATACTGGAGAAAAACCATACAAGTGTGATCCATGTGGGATGAGTTTTACTCAAGCAGGACATCTCAAGCGCCACCGCAGAATCCACACGGGAGAAAAACCATACAAATGTGGTCTGTGTGGAACAGGTTTTACTCAAGCAGGACATCTCGAAGTTCACAGGAGAATCCACACTGGAGAAAAACCATACGAATGTGGTCTGTGTGGAACAAGTTTTACTCAAGCAGGACATCTTGAGGTCCACAGCAGAATCCACACTGGAGAAAAGCCCTTCTGTTGTGACTTTTGTGGTCAGAGTTTTAGTCAAAAGCATGTTCTCGAAGAACATCAGAGGATCCACACAGGAGAGAAACCGTTTGAGTGTGACAAGTGTGGTAAATCATTTAGGATCAAACGGCAGCTCGCACTACATCAACGTGTCCACACAGGAGAGAAACCTCACCAATGTGACCAGTGTGGTAAGACTTTTGCACATTTGTTTCTCCTCACTCAGCATTACGTAATCCACACAGGAGAAAAGCCTTTCATCTGTGGAGACTGTGGGAAGAAGTTTGCTTTATTTTCTTCCTTCAAACAGCATGAGAGAATTCACTCTGGAGAAAAGCCATTTGCATGTGACCACTGCAGTAAAACTTTTAGAACTTCGACAGAGCGCACAGTTCACCATCGAAGTCACACCGGAGAGAAGCCGTTCGAGAGCGACGTGTGTGGAAAGAGTTCTAGCTTAAGTGGAAGTCTTAATGATCACAATAAATTCACACTAGAGAAAAACCATACGAGTGTGGTCTGTGTGGAATGAGTTTTACTACAAAAGAACATCTCAAGCGCCACAGCAGGATCCACACTGGAGAAAAACCCTTCAGCTGTGACGTCTGTGATCGGATTTTTCATCAGATTGGTCATCTCAAAGTGCATCAGAGGATCCACACTGGCAAGAAACAATTGCTTGTGAAAAGTGTGGGATGTTTTTTACACAGGGTCACATCTTTGTCGAAACATTGAAACCTGTGAGAACCAGGTCTGAAGACGCAGCATCTTGAACAAACTGAAGAGACAGAGCTGAGGCTGCATCATCAAACACACAGCTGCTGTTTCATAGCAGTCCAGTAACGCCTTGTGTCCTGGGACTGACAGCTATAGATGCATTCTGAACTTTTTTCATGGGAAAAGGTTTAGGCGTACCAATTATAATGAAGAACCAGCTGCTCTGAACAACAGCAACCGCAACAAACTATACTTAACCACACTTTTTGGATGTGCCACGGGGATAGCGGGCCTAGCGAGTATCACGTCAATGCTAAACATAGAAGAGCTAGTATGGACGTTAGCCTGAGTAGAGGATATACACTGACGTCACTAATTACCCATGATTCACAACGACTGAAAGTTGTGCCACCATATTGGACTGCAGAGAAACTGACTGTATACTAACACGGTCTAGAACGTGCTATATCAATGCTGAATATCAGCCTCATTTACCGCTTTGAGTATGCAGTTGGGCTATCCACAAGGAAAGATATATGGATAAACTGCATGAAACTGGATATTTACTGACAAGCAATGTTACAGCCCGTTGATCTGACGAGTACTGATGGCTCTCAAACACTTCCTGATATACGCTCTCCGGAAATCTTCAACAATCTTGTCCTTCTTCTATACAGCTTCTAGAAGTAAGAATTACAAAAGTCTTGAGGCCTACAAGTACTTTTTGTCGAGTTGGAAAAAAGAATTGCTTGAAAAACTGCCATCAACAGAACTTGCCATTTATTTTTGTCAGCACGGTAAACAATTTAATTTAAAATAATTGATTTAATCGAAATACATGTATTTTCATTGTGTTAGTCCAGTGCTTGATCTTATGTCATAAAAACATAAACATTGATAGTACAAGGGGTATGCACCTCCTGCATCTAAGCCCAGGGGTACAAATCTAAATATCATTGGCTTACTTTGAAATTCACGCACAGGCTGTCAATAAACAATTAGCTAGTCATAACTTTAGTTAGAGTGAAAAACTTGCAAACACAAAGGAATAAATAGAAAATGGAAAATTAAAGAACAAATTAACGCCTATTTAGAGCCACCCTGTGTAATTTTTACAGCTGCTCCATATGAAAAAAAAATTTTAACTAATAACAAATATGACCTTTTAAAGAATATTTACCTCCACCCATGTTTTTTGTATTGTGTTCATAGGCTTAGAATTTAACTTATAAGTGTCCATGAGAGAGAGGTCCTCACAGTAAATGCGCCATCTTGAAAACAGGTGCTGGATAAGGACAAAAAGGATGCGAGAATCGCATTTGCGTTTCACATGAGCTACTGATATCGATGCTTTCACCTTGCCTTCACAATTTGGAAGAAGGAACCATGGAGGACCACTTTTTCTAAAAGAACCATGGACGACCACAGTTGTATAATAGAACCGAACCATGGAGGACCAGTTATGTAAAAGAACGATCTGATCAACAATCTTTTAGAAAAATAATTATGCAGAAGTCCAGCGTCATAGCAGCAAAGTGTCAACATCACAAACCACACGCACACAGCGTTAACACAACAAGAGGCACATTGTGTAGTTTGTGCACAACAGACTCACACGTGAACAATACGTAACTTTTTCACACTGATGACAATAAAGAGAACGAGGCAGAATCTACAACACAGTCTCAGGATGTTCTGACCCAATCCGCACTTCAACTACTGTCACAAGTTTCAACTAAACTAACTAAATTCAGGGAAAAAGCCTCAACTAACACACACAGAATCCACACAAAATAATCGCCAGAATAATGTATCAGCAGCGTGAGTGAATGTTCTGTTTTTCTTACTGTGATGCAGATAGGGCGCTGTGGCTAACGCTAATGCTAACATGAGCTTTGCCATGTCCTGCCGCGGCTGTGTATATGTCCTACTTCTTTGATCACCGTAGTTTTAAGCTCCCGCAGACATTATTCCTCCATGTGTCTCTTCTCTTCACACCGCGTTTGTAAAACTATATATTAAAATAGATCCATGGTAAAACTCAGAGCCTCTGTGCAGCAGGTGCTGCGTCTGAACGTGTTCTTGTTTACATCCACTCCTCCACGCAACTGTCACATGCCCGAGACATTGGAGAGATCCGGTCATTAATCAAACTAAAGTATTCCTTCCTTGGCAGTCTGGTGAATGATTATTGAATCCGATGCATTATTTATTAGTTGAGGAGCACTGTCAAACAGTATACATAGTTCCCACAGACCGATGAATGTCACATGACCTCCTCGGAGACGCCATCTTTGATGGCTCGCTGCTGTGTTTGTGCATTCCATTAAACAGAAGAATGAGAATAAATGTAGATATTCAAACGCAAATTGGAAAAAAAGGGCAACTTTTGAGCAAATAATTGTATATTAATACAATGGCACCACAGTTTAACGTGCTACGGACATGTTTTACATATTTGATCAAATTATGCAGCAAAAATTAACAAGCCATGCAAACATTTCTCAAAAACTTTAGATTTAATACCAGTTGGAGCTCCATTTAATTATTTTAATTATATTAACAATTAATTTAATTAATGCTAATGCCACACGGACACTCTGGATTGCTGTTATTGTTTATTTCCGCGTTTTTGACCGTATGTTTTGGTGAATGGTGGGCAACTGATTTTTCCAGGCGTAAAGAGCAGTTTATTTTATGACACAGATCTTTTTACAGAAGCAATGCTGTTTGTGAACATTGTTTTAGCCCACCATAGAACTATTATTATCTATTTAATACATTTACGTTGCCCTCGAGAGCCTCGGACGCGACACCGATCCTCCTCATAATAAAGTAATCTAAATAATGAAACTCTCAAGTTATCAGATATCAGCATACACAAGTTAGTACTGAGTAAATTACGTCTGTCAACACATTATAAGATACGATACGCACCTGACACAAAGTGCTCCGAGCATATTCTTGCGTGTTTTGAGGGAGTTTCTTGCCTGTTTATCTTCGCAAGCCATAACCTCCGTGGTTGTTCTGACAAAAGCTTAGTCTTCTCACATTCATGAAGTCTAATGATGGGTATACTGTAAAATCCAAGTTTAACGGAACCTCCGGCACGATTTGAACATCCATTGACCCAGCAGGAGATGACCATTTTCAACTTTATCACGACATTAACACGTTTCAGCTTCTTTTTCTATTGTTTTGCCCACAGAATGCCAACACAAATGGCGCCGGGTCGGCAAATCCCCGTATGTAGTGACGTCATGTAGGAACTATGTATAGACAACGGTGCTCCTCAACTCTCCAGGCACCCGTACTATATTAGACTGCAATATAAGATCTCAACGCTAGAGGCACTAAATATTACACAGAGGTAAGTTTCAACTCATATAAAATTAAACTGAATTTAAATGTATTCCACATACATTGTCCCGCAATGCCCTGGTGCGTAGAATGAGCCCTGGCAATGAGCCCATTTTCACCACAATTGCCTCTATAGGCCTGTAAACTTAAATTTATGCCTGAAATTTGGGTTTTTGGGTCGAACACGTGATGTCATGCGCGTTCACGCTAAGCTGTAGCAGCGCTAGCTGTATCTGAAGCTGCAGAGCGAGAGGTAGCTTTGGAAGGATGGATACAGTGGAGAATAACAAGAGACCGGCTTCAGGCAGCAAAACTCCAGCCCAGACCCAAACTAAAGTAAAGTGCTTGAAAGGTAAGGCTGTTGTTTCTAAATACGAGTGGGGAAAAGTAGAATGCTTTCAACGCAGCGGTCCGTGCATTGCAAGGCTACGTAGCGAAATGCAATTTTTTTTGTCAGTAACTGAGTTTTCTGGTCAATAAGGAACTCTTGAAAGAGCGGCGCGCTGACAAGAACGCTTCCGCAAACTCTGCAGCTTCCCTTGATGATGAAGGGTTGCGCTCTTTGATCCAGGTCCGTAGATCCGAGTTAAGCACTCTCAGGAACTGCTCCAACACGATCGCATCACCAATCTGCTCCTTGCTCTTGTCTCTCGGAGTAATCCACTTCTCATAGAGATCCTTCATTCGGAGCTGCAGCTCATCTTCCTTAATGACCGGAACCACATCTTGATGATCTCTGCACTGATTTCGAACTTCTCCAAGACAGCTCTCTTCACCAATACATAGTCCATAGTTTCAGAAATATCCATAGCCACATCCTCACCATAGCTGGAACATTGGGGCTCTTTGCTTGAGCTGCAGGTGCTGCACCGACCATCACTGGAGGAGTATCTGGAAGCTCAGCTTTCACCTCCTGCTGAAGCTGGTCCACCCGGCGCTCCATGGACTGCCACCGGTTCTCCTGCTGTAGCTTTTCCTGCTCCCATTTGGCATCGTGCTCAGTTTGCTTCCTCACCAAGCCCTGGAGCAGGTTTGCTATTTCCGCCATACTTGGAGTTTGTGGATCATCACAGAGGGCCTCTGCTCCTCCAAATCCATTTTCCTCTTCGTCTGCAAGTCCACTCACTTTGGAGCCATATTAAAAAACTGGAAGTACCACTGTCACTATTTGTGAGGTAGTGTGGCATGAGTGGTCCAAGTGGCAGAAGAACAAAAACAAAGGCCCCAAAACTTGTAACAAAAAGGTAAATTTATTTACAGTGCTCCCGAAATGTTCTCTCTCCAAAACCAACATGGAGAGTGAATCTCCCTCTCTCCCTAGAGCATTCTTCTTCTTCTTCTTCTTTTGATTTAATTACCGCCACCTACTGTATTAGGACTGCATGAACAGGAGATGCACTTGCTTAATTTAGGCTACAATCTTCCCATTAGTTTTGCATTATTCAGATATTTAAAAATAACACTGATCATTTGTTTAGATGGACTCTGAAGTAGATTCCTTAGTGTAATTGTTCATTTCCTTGACACCACTGGATTAACTCCCTCTTGCTCATAGCGCGCACAATGGAGTTGCACATGTTCGACATTCTTCGGCTCTTGACAGTAATCACAAAGTCCAGTGGAGTGTTTTCTTATCCTAAACAATGAACTGTTCAGACTTGTGTGACCTATTCTCAAACGAGTGAAAGCTCTCTCTTCCTTTGTGCTCCTGCCCCGGGATTTATATGGACCCACATTCCGCTGTATACCATATAGATGCCGCTCAGTATCACAGATGTCCCAATATTCCTGCCAGACCTTCTTCACATGCTCTTTTATTATAGGTTTGACTTCTGATTTACTCAATGCCACATCTAAATTAACTGAAGGGGATTTTGAAGCATCCTTAGCCAGCATATCGACCACTTCATTCCCATCTACTAGAACATGGACAGGAACCCAAAGAAACGACACTCCAACATCCCTACTATTTCCTTGTACAAGAAATTGCGGCGGCCTTTTTGTTTTCTCTTTGAGTTTATGTTGGAGACTATATTATGAAATATAAAAGTATTATATTATATCAACTGGTGCAGATATAAACTTCCAAGGGGCAATAGTTAACAAAGTCGGTATAGGGCACACACTAATTCCCCTTAACCCAGCATGTTGAGCTTTGGCCTTTGCTATCCAACCAAAACTATAGCTTTTCGTGTTCCCAACATTCTCTAAGGACCTCTTTTCCTGGGTGTGATCCAATTTGTTCTTCTAAATTCACGAAATACGCCAACATGAGTTTCAATCTTCTAATTCGCAATGGCATTTCTCCCAACTCGACCTGCATTGCAGAAATAGATGTTTTAAAAGCTCTGCAGCAGATCCGTAGGGCTTTAGCTTGTTCCACATCAAGTTTTTTTTTCAAGTAGTCTCAGGAGCAGACAAAAAGGCTAAACACCCATAATCGAGAGTAGGACGCATCACAGCCCAGTATATATTTAACAGTGATTTCCTACTGCCTCCCCAGTCCTGACCAGATAAACGCAACAAATTATTCACTTTTTTACATTTATTTTGAACTTTTTCAATATGAGGACGCCATGTCAGTTTTTCATCAAAAATTATATCTAAAAACTTAGTTTGCTTCACTTGTTCAAGCGCTTGTCCATATAGTTTCAGAGAAATTGCTTTGTGACGGCTGTAGAAACGCATCACTTGGGACTTTGGCACAGACAATTTCAATCCCCAGTCTAGTGTCCACTTCTCCACCTGCTGTATTGTTGACGTTTCCAGACTGTAGGACGAACAAAGAGGCATAAACATAATAGTGATACTTTTATATTTCATGTTTATAAAATGTGAATTAAGTTATGGACAAACAGAATTTTTAGAAAAGATAACATGTAGTTCCCAATTCTACCACCAGAGGAAGGAGGTGAACGTATCTTCTCAAAAACAACCTTATGGTCTGCAAACACAGGCAAACGATTGTAAAAAAAAACATTTCACTGGAGAAAAAAAAACAGATTTATAGGAAAAAACTGTTTTAAAACATGACATCATAGTGTAAGGATAGCGTACCAGGTTTGAAACAGGAGGATTTAGACGCGAAGGGACGTGTTTGTGAAATGTCTGATAATAGGATTATGGATGGATCTAAATACAAGACAAGGTATTCACTTCTAAATAGTTGAATCCAGTATTTGGCACAAAAGGAGTTCATTTGTGTGATATGTGTGATATGCTCGTGCATCCTAACATGCACTAGAAGCCTGTGCTCGCACATTGCTGCAGGCAGCAGGGCTTTGCTGGCAGTGAGTCATTGGGTTTATTTGCTTGTTTATTTCTGCAGAGTGACTTAAATAATGGTTTGAAGCTGTTCGTCTGTGAGCTGGTTCACTGCCATGATTTTGGTCAGCTGTTCCTGATATTTGGACTGGTCCTGCATGAAGTGGGGAATCCGAATGTTGTCCATCTGAGCCAGAGGCTTGAGCCTGTCCACGTCCTCAAAGGCCACCTGCAAACACACATTTAAGTCACATGATTGATATCTGACATCTGGTCAAGACATGGTGGTTTTGATTCTGTGTGTATGTGTTTGTGTGTGTGTGTGTGTGTGTGTGTGAGTGTGTATGGCCAAAAACCACTTTGGCTTCAACTGAAATGCAATATTCTTTGCAGTTTCAATGCAAAGCATGATGATGCCGAGTCAGAGCGCCGCAGTGAGAGCTCTAGTGTTCACTATCTTCATGTTGGTTTGTTTTGTATGTGATTTACTTGCTTCTGGGAAGTACGACCGAGAGACACTTCTCCACATTCGGGACCAAGTTTGCGGAGTGTCAAACTTGGTTCAAATCTTACCTGAACTGAGGTGCATAAACTTTCATGAGTGCCACACTCGAGAGGCCCGTGGAGCACGGCAGGAGGGCCGTGGCAGTGGCCGCCATCAGAGCGAGGGGACTGGGCGTCTCCTTCATTCTCTCCGCGGTGTGGAGCTGGGTACCACGAGCCGGTGAAGGAAGCGCAGACACCGAGGAAAGCGAGGCGGTCTGCTCGTGAGAAGCTGCTCCTACAGGACCGCTCTGCCTTCCATCTGCCTAGCCAACGTACAGTCTCTGCCCAACAAGACGGATGAGCTCCTGTGTCAAATCAAGAGCCAGCGCGAGGCCCGAGACTGTGCTGTGTTCAGGCCCGTCCCAAGGGGGGTGCGAGGCCCTGTGCGAACTCGAAACGCGAGGCCCTGCCCTGACACTTTTTTCCCAGATCTGAGGAAAGTTTTTCCTGTTATAATCTTTGACATGAATTCAGCACCACCTCGCGCGGTGCTTGACGAGATCAGCACGCGCGTAACCGAGTGTCTTCGCTCCTATGCAGCGTTTGGCGCGCGCACGTACACACGCACACACACTCTACGTGCAATATTGGTCGCGGTCTTTTTAGCTGACATGTCTCTTTCGTCCTGTGGCAAAATGGTAGAGCAACTCAAAAGATTGAACCAAAAGGAGTCTTTTTCTTCTAATAGTTAGATTTGGGCAAAATGCGCCAAAATGGCTATGAGGCGGAGTCAATATTATTATTTTCTCATCAAATAACGTTTTTGCCATGCCTCCACACACTCTGACAACATACACTCCCTCCTCCTCCACACTGACAACAACAAAATACTCTTCACCTCCTCCTCCACACACTCTGACCACAACAAAAACACTCCAGCTAGCTAAAGCTAGACATACAGTGTGTTTGCTAATGCTTTTAAAAATATGTTTTTGATGTGGATATTCGGACTAAACATTGGCAATAGCAGCGCTCACACACCTGTCACACCGCTGATCCTCCTCCTCCTCCTCTGCTCACACAAAGGGGTCTGCTCCTCTGCTCACACCTGTATCACTGCTCCTCCTCCTCCTCCTCCTCCTCCTCCTCTGCTCACACAAAGGGGTCTGCTCCTCTGCTCACACCTGTCTCACTGCTCCTCCTCCGCGAGTATCCATCTCTCCTACACTGCGATCATTCCCGTTACTTTCTTTGTATCTCACTCAGACACTGCTAAAGTTATCTGACAGTTTTTTCGGAGGACCCGTTGCATACATAGCTGCCCGCGCGCCTGCCTGTTTACAAATCGCTTTTGGTGAAAATTTGACTTTACTTGTAAAAATGTTCTTTTGATCAAACGAAATCAAAGAGGTCCAGAGAAAGGGGTTTAGGGTTCCAAATTTGGAGTGCAGTCTGCCCTTTGGGGACCCTTGAACTAGTGTATTTATAAAATAAAATAAAAGGAAGGAAGATTGCGAGGCCCCTGTGTGGTGCGAGGCCCTGTGCGACGGCACAGGTCGCACAGCCCTTAGGACGGGCCTGGCTGTGTTCTGTCCACACGAACGTCCCGGACTCTGCTGTTCAGCCCCCGGGATTCACCGCGCACCGCGCGGACAGAGTGTAGGAGACCACCGGGAAATCCAAAGGCGGAGGTGTGTACTTTTTAATTAATCAGTGCTGGTGCACGGACACTCGAGTCATGAACCAAACATGTACTGCCAATCTGGAATGCCTGGTCTTGAGCTGTCGCCCTTTTTATCTTCCCCGAGAGTTTTTGGTGATATTTTTATGCGCTGTTTACATCCACCCACGAGCGGACTATGGTGAAGCTCTACAGCAGGGGTGCTCACACTTTTTCAGCATGCGAGCTACTTATAAAAGGATCAAGTCAAAATGATCTACCTACTACAAAAATGCTAATCATATATTTATTTCAAAAAATATTCTTTATACCTACAATATATGTTTATGTACATGCAAAACCGCATGAGCCAATATAGCACAACACAATTACCTATGTACATTTTTTGTCATTACCCGAGTTTACTCTGATGACTTGCACTGAATTGAATCGGCCAGGGATGCATAGTCCGGAAAATTGGTGGTAACTCGCTGACAAGTTTGTCGTGGTTTAGCTTTCCTGCACTGAGCGCGGTTGTTTGCGCATGTGCAGTCACCTAAGTGTCAGTAAAACATTACTGAGTAAAACACAGATGTCATTTGACTGTGGTGCCATGTCCATGTGCCATGCCTATTTTTTTTAAATCCAAATATTTCCCCTCCTCAGTTTATAAAATAATTTGCATCCACACATCTGCGTTATCAATCACATTCGTAACATTCCAAACATGTGCGTCTCTTACGTCCTGTCCTGCGTTGGGGAAAAACACAGAAGTGGGCGGAGCTTTGATGCAGACGCCGGTAACGGCACTTTTACAGTCATAGAAGACACTCAGAGTAAAGACGTATGTTTACAAGCACTGACCCAGTCCTCAGCCCTGGTTTAGTCCTGGTTTAGTCCTGGTTTGGTTGTTTTCGAGCGTGAGTCCCCGCGATCACTTTGCTGCTCTCTGATGTGGAGCGAGGATGTTCGCTGCTGCGAGCATCTCACAACGAACAGTTTTTAAGGTAGTATGATCCATGCTTCAGTGATCAGAGGAATTTAGACCGCGGTAAAGTGGCCCGCATCTTTCAGCTCTATGAACAAGCGGCCCGCATCGGGGAAAATACGGTGCGCGTTTCTTTGAGAACTTACGGTAACAGCGGAACATCCTTTCGGAGTCACCCATTTTTATCGAACAGAAAGCGCGCTGGGGTCTGGGAGACACGTTTTTTGTGATTAAAACCTTATAGAGATGCCACCCGGTACACATAGCACCAGCCCCCTACGATTCCTCCTGCAGATTGTGAGTCCTCAGGAGGATAGCCACTCTATTGTTTACATATATATAACTATTTACTGGAATAAGGTGTGCGACTAATTTCACTTGACTCATATCCTTATTATTGCCCTCTACCACTGTACCAAAGACCAGAAACTTTAACTGTAGAAATTTGGAGAAATATGGAGTTAAAGTTGCCATTTTGGTTAGTCTGCATCAATCCATTATTCTGGAATTGATTTGCCTTGACTCGATGAGCAGGATGACCAATCAGGTGTTAGGCACCCACCCCTCAAACTTTGATGGGCGAGTTTGACAGATAAAATTAATTCATGAAACACTGCAACACAGGACCATGAAATAATTAATTCAATAGATAAATAATTATATATTTTTTTTTACACAGAATCATTGGTAATTTAATTAATTAATGACACATTTAATTAATTAATGACACATTTATTTAATTATTTAATGGTGCATTTATTTATTTAATTCCATATTTAATTAATTAATGAAACATTTAATTAATTAATGACACATGTATTTAATTATTTAATGGTGTATTTATTTATTTAATTGTGGCACTTTCAATCCTCCATACAAAAACGCCATCACCTCTACGGCAGAAATAGCAATCCAATAGACAGTGAGGCTTTTTGAGCTGACGCACTTTACACCTGTACATAATGAAACTGTCCAAGAGATAATCTCTAGTTTGAGTTCCTACACATGTAGTCTGGATGTATTACCTCCTAGATTTCTTAAGACTGTCCTGAGTGAATAGTGAATATATCTCTTAAATCTGGAACATTGCCAATGTCCCTGAAAACGGCAGTCATCAGGCCCCTCCTAAAAAAGAGGAGTCTGGATGCCATGGTACTAAACAATTACCGGCCCATTTCAAATCTGCCATTTTTGGGAAAAATTCTTGAAAAAGTTGCCTATCAACAACTTAATGAATTTTTAATAATCAATAACGCTTTTGATATGTTCCAGTCCGGCTTCAGACCCCACCACAGCACTGAGACCGCGCTAGTGACATCAAACTTAGCACTGATGCAGGAATATTTGCTATATTTGGGCATCGTCTGGTCCTCCCAGTTCTGCGCAGTGGATGAACTCCCATGATGTACTGCGCCCAAATACCTGTGTGTGGCTCTCATGCACGTGCACAGAGGGGCTCGGCCGTGCTCTGACCAATCAGAGCTGCTGATCAGAGCTCCTGATCAGAGCTGCTGATCAGAGCTGCTGATCAGAGCTGCTGATCAGAGCTGCTGATCTGCTGATCAGAGCGGGAGCGTTGGAGCCAGACGAGCAGCGTTTGTGGCCCTAATGTGTGGATTTAAAGAAAACCGGAAGGATTTAAAAAAGTTCAGGATGACAAAGGACACTAAAATCCCCACAAAAGTCGATCTTTATGAAAGCTGTAGATGCTCTGACAACTGAGGTCGAGGTGTTTTAGTTTACATTGAGTTCTATGGGGAATATTTCTGGGTAGCCCGCGTGAATTCAGTCTTGTTTAGTATGCAGTACCGCAAGAATCCCCCGAGCACATGAGTCCTTCTGCTCCAAGCTAGTATTACCCTATCATAGATCCATGGCCGTAACAGGGGAAGACGTGTTGCTAACCCTGTCAGAACAGCTTATGTTCAAGTCGGCTTCTTCCACATTGGGCTAATACCATGGTGATGTCACACTCGGTCCGTCCACTCCTAATATATGTTCTATGGTTTATCCCAGAATGTTTGATCTGACTCGAAATAAGAGAGAAACATATTTATTTATTTTTTGAGTGAAATGTAGAAAGTGTAGTAAGGGGTTATCTATTCTTTTGTGTCCAAAAGAAGCAGACTGAAGCAACAGGTGACTGATATGTCCATATTATTTAGTATTATTCTAATATTTATAGTCTATGGTCCATACCCAAGCAAACAAACATGGGGAATCATCTTTACTTATTATGTATCATTGTTTGTTGTTTACTTTACAAAGTATTGAGAAACATAGTTATAACCTTTAATGTAATTGAGAGAGAAATGTCTTATTTCTGCTGCTGTGATAAGTTTTTAAGTCTTGAGGTTGAGGACAGAGCAGCGGTGAGTTTTCCAAAGCCTCAGTTTTAACAGTGACTCATGGTAAATGGCACGGTCGTGGACACACAAACATTACATCACAGTGAGTTTTCCCTCTCAGAGCGGAGGAGTCGCGTCAGGGTTTCACCATGTGGTCACCAACGAGCTGACCGCCAGCAGACTGCTGCACATCAAAGGCCGCCGTGTTGTCAGGGCAACGCAGGTGCCGCTGGGCTGGTCCAGCTTCAACAGTGGAGACTGCTTCATCCTCGACCTGGGCCATGTGAGCAACACACACACACACACACACACATTTTAGAGAAAGACAAGTAGGAAATTGCAAAAGTGCTATTATAAAAGTAACTTTCAAAAAAACAAACTGCATGCAAAGGCAAGCTAAAATTTAAGTTCTTAAAAGAGACTTAGTTTGCAACTTTTTTGAACTTTGTGTGGTTGTGTGCAGACCATCTACCAGTGGTGTGGCTCCAAATGTAATAAGTTTGAGAGGCTGAAAGCGGCGCAGATGGCCCGCGGTATTCGCGACAACGAGTGGAATGGTCGCGCTCAGCTGGTGGTGGTGGAGGAGGACAGTGAACCAACTGCTCTGATTGAGGTACATCTAATACAATAACATACACTCACATGTTGCTTGTATGTTACAAAACTGTATTTTGTGTAGGGCTGTAAAACAATTACAATTTTCTAGTTGAATAATTGCATAGTAATGATGAGTTAACCCATGATTAATCGCATTTTTTACATTCTATTTGAAGTTAAGTTAAATGAGATTATCAAATGTAATGACACATTGTCATTCTTACCAATTGGACTTGAATCTGTTTGCTTTGCTCACAACACAAAGGGAAAATGTACGTATCCCAGATTCAATTTAGTGAGTTTAGTTGCGTTTCAGGAGGAGACACAGACACTTCCTGAGGCTCCATAGTTCAGCTTCCGCGGTGTATTTGCGTGCACAGATTACGCAAAGGCATTTTCATCATATTTATTTTTGCACTGCGGAACGTTTCTCACAGACGGACTGATTGCACTGGAGCACCAACTAACGCGCATGAATTTGATTCAGACAACAACAAACCACAGCGGTACTGTGAACATGAACAAAGAAGCTGAAGCTGAAATTACTTCTCAGGTCAAATGTTTATATGCAATTAAAATGCAATTCATTACAATTAATTAATTACAAATCCTCTAATCAGTTAGGTTAAGAGTCCCAGCCCAAATACATTTCATTGTATACAACTTTTAACCAACAGCATTAAAATAACTTTTGAAAGTAACTAATCGTTACTAATTCTCCAACCAGATTTACTGTATACTGAAAATTCACTTAATGATCAGGTGCTGGGAGAAAAGCCCGAACTGCCAGAAGGAGATGATGACGAGGACTTCAGCGCCGACATCTCCAACAGGAAAATGGCCAAACTCTATATGGTACTAACACAAACATACATTTGCACAGTGGTCCCTCATTTAACTCAGAGGTTACATTCTAAAAGTAACCTGCAATAAGCAAAATCTGCAAAGTAGTAGCTACATGTTTTAAGGCGGTGAAACCCCTCACACACACTTTATACCACCGGAAATCATGACTGCTGAAGTGAGAGAGGCCAGAAATAGGTAGTCCTGACCAAGTCGAGCATTAATATCTGGAGATGGGTTCCTGGGCGCTGTACTACGCCGACCACTGCTTCTGACGTAAGCCTTAGTGGCATCAGAATGGGTCAAATGCAGAGGACAAATTTCCCTACGGGGATAATAAAGTGCACATTTACATTTACATTTACAAATATCAAACCTATTGATTGTAGGTCTGAGTGCTGCTGCAGCTGTCAAAAGCCGTGCATACATTGTAAAATACAGCTGCAGAGGAAACTGAGCTGCAGGAACAGGACTGAGGGATATGAGAAGACCAGAGAGAGACCAGAGAGAGACCAGAGAGAGACCAGAGAGAGACCAGAGAGAGACCAGAGAGAGACCAGAGAGAGATCAGAGAGAGATCAGAGAGGGACTAGAGTAGTCCTCTGAACTAATGACTGCAACCACACAACCTCACATGTTCTTTTTTAAATAAAGACAACTATCAGGTTAAACTAACATTTTATGATGTTGTAAATTCGTTGTTGGAGTATGCACACACAGAAAAGCACACAAATCTGCAAAACGGCGAGACCACAAAAGATGAACCGAGTTATTGCGAGGGACCCTCCACACACTAGTATACATACAATAAATGTCCTCATTCTTTTTCTCAAGACTGATCCAAACCTTCGTTGCTACTGTACTTACCTAGCTTAAACCTGAATCTATGCTAACCCATGTGTGCCCTAGGTACCATGTTGTTTATGTAATAACAAAGGATTACAAGGGGAACTGATTCTTGTTTTCATAAAAGTCCCCATGATATGAGTGTGTGGATATATTATAGTTCCCAGGATATGAAAACCTCCCAGTTCCATAATCACACATAAGCTCTTGACAAACAGCGCACACAGAGGCCTCACGGAGAACAAGTGGAGCTGGCTCTGGTCTCTGCATAGATGACACCAAAGACACTTCAGTATCTTAAGTTTAAACACAACATCTAAAACAAGATTAAATCCTAGTGCATGCACCATTTTTTCATCACATGTTTATAATGTGAGGGTGTGTGATAGTGACTTTGTGGCTGTGTACAGGTGTGTGATAGTGACTTTACTGCTGTGTACAAGTGTGTGATAATGACTGTGGCTGTGTACAGGTGTGTGATAGTGACTGTGGCTGTGTACAGGTGTGTGATAGTGACTTTGCGGCTGTATACAGGTGTGTGATAGTGACTTTGCCGCTGTGTACAGGTGTGTGATAGTGACTTTGCCGCTGTGTACAGGTGTGTGATAGTGACTTTTCCGCTGTGTACAGGTGTGTAATAGTGACTTTGCCGCTGTGTACAGGTGTGTGATAGTGACTGCCGCTGTGTACAGGTGTGTGATAGTGACTGTAGCTGTGTACAGGTGTGTGATAGTGACTTTGCCGCTGTGTACAGGTGTGTGATGGTGACTGTGGCTGTGTACAGGTGTGTGATAGTGACTTTGCCGCTGTGTACAGGTGTGTGATAGTGACTTTGGCTGTATACAGGTGTGTGATAATGACTTTGCCGCTGTGTACAGGTGTGTGATAGTGACTGTGGCTGTGTACAGGTGTGTGATAGTGACTTTGCCGCTGTGTACAGGTGTGTGATGGTGACTGTGGCTGTGTACAGGTGTGTGATAGTGACTTTGCCGCTGTGTACAGGTGTGTGATGGTGACTGTGGCTGTGTACAGGTGTGTGATAGTGACTTTGCTGCTGTTTACAGGTGTGTGATAGTGACTGGCTGTGTACAGGTGTGTGATAGTGACTTTGCCGCTGTGTACAGGTGTGTGATAGTGACTGTGGCTGTGTACAGGTGTGTGATAGTGACTGTAGCTGTGTACAGGTGTGTGATAGTGACTGTGGCTGTGTACAGGTGTGTGATAGTGACTTTGCCGCTGTGTACAGGTGTGTGATAGTGACTTTGCCGCTGTGTACAGGTGTGTGATAGTGACTTTGCCGCGGTGTACAGGTGTGTGACAGTGACTTTACAGTTGTGTACAGGTGTGTGATAGTGACTGTTTTTAGCATGAATTTATGTGGACTGATGGATGTAACGGGTGAATGTATGAATGAATATTTGTATTTGAGTGGTTAAATATATTTTATATTGTACATGTTGTGACTCACCTGCTCAGGGACTACAGATGGAAACTAGCTCAAGCTAAATCTGGTGCAAAGCATCTTTAATTAATGTATTTTCACATTGTCCCTGTTGAAATAAATTAATAAACTAAACTAAACTAAACTGTGGCTGTGTACAGGTGTGTAAGAGTGACTTTGTCGCTGTTTACAGGTGTGTGATAGTGACTTTGCCGCTGTGTACAGGTGTGTGATTGTGACGTTGTCGCTGTTTACAGGTGTGTGATAGTGACTTTGCCGCTGTGTACAGGTGTGTGATTGTGACGTTGCCGCTGTGTACAGGTGTGTGACAGTGGCTTTACAGTTGTGTACAGGTGTGTGATAGTGACTGTGGCTGTGTACAGGTGTGTGATAGTGACTTTGCCGCTGTGTACAGGTGTGTGATAGTGACTTTGCCGCTGTGTACAGGTGTGTGACAGTGACTTTACAGTTGTGTACAGGTTCGTGATAGTGACTGTGGCTGTGTACAGGTGTGTGATAGTGACTTTGTCGCTGTTTACAGGTGTGTGATAGTGACTTTGCCACTGTATACAGGTGTGTGATAGTGACTTTGCCGCTGTGTACAGGTGTGTGACAGTGACTTTACAGTTGTGTACAGGTGTGTGATAGTGACTGTGGCTGTGTACAGCAGGGACGTGCGGTGAGGTTTGTGATTGGGGAGGCACTGACTTTAAAAGTCAGATTTACAATCATTATTCAAATAAAATAGCATTTAATCACCAATGCAATGACATCCACAAACTTTATATACTGTAAAGATAAGAGAACCAGCTTCTTTTAATAATCTCACAACAAATCTAGCTGCTGACTCTGCTCCGCATCAAACAACATCTTTAAGAAGCGCAGGTGCGAGAGACGCGAGGAGAGAGAGACGCGAGGAGAGAGGAGCAGAGAGAGACAGAGAGGAGCAGAGAGACGGAGACGCGAGGAGAGAGAGACGGAGACGCGAGGAGAGAGAGAGACGGAGACGCGAGGAGAGAGAGACGCGAGGAGAGAGGAGGAGAGAGAGACGCGAGGAACATAAACAATAATTTAAACAAGTTGCAGAACTCTTGAGCAGTGTTTGAATCAGTGTTTTTCGGAAAAGCACTACTTTGCCGGTATCTGTCAATGTTCAACATAAAACACAGATTAACAAACTCCTCCCCCGCAGCCGGACTAACCTCGTAAGTCCAGTGGTGGTCTCCCAGTCTATATTAATTCTTTCTTTGTTTGAAAGTCCAATTGAGAAAAAAAATCTTCATTCAAATCATCCATTTTCCAGCAAAAGAAATAGCATTTTGGGCTGATTGTTTGTTAGCAACTCTGGTATGAACTTTATGCTCACTATCACCCCTAGCGGTGAGGCACAGATACCGCCTGCCTCACGCCAAGCTTTTTCCTTGTGTGTTCATCTACGATCAAAAGACTTAAACTAAATATAAATTGTACACACATACGTGCAATACACTACTAAACACTAAGAGGAGTTTAAAAAATGTTTTTAAAGCAGGATATTTGAAACAAACGGTGATATATCAACTGCACGAGCTGAGTGCACTCAGACACACACACACACACTGTGAGGGAGCGGTCTGGGGTGAGGCACGCAGGAGCGCTGCCTCACCTCGTCTCTTTGAATAGGAATAACGGGATTTCGGCGATTTTGACTTCAGAAATGATCAAAACTGATGGGAACCGTGCCGAATATACATTAAAAGCATAGGACAGTGGATATAAATTATATATTTAAACTAAAATAATTATTAGTTTCCAATAATGGCAGGTGAGGCTCTGCCTCCCCTGCCTCCCCTGACTGCACGTCCCTGGTGTACAGGTGTGTGATAGTGACTTTGCCGCTGTGTACAGGTGTGTGATAGTGACTTTGCCGCTGTGTACAGGTGTGTGATAGTGACTTTGCCGCTGTGTACAGGTGTGTGATAGTGACTTTGCTGCTGTGTACAGGTGTGTGACAGTGACTTTACAGTTGTGTACAGGTGTGTGATAGTGACTGTGTACAGGTGTGTGATAGTGACTTTGTCGCTGTTTACAGGTGTGTGATAGTGACTGTGTACAGGTGTGTGATAGTGACTTTGTCGCTGTTTACAGGTGTGTGATAGTGACTTTGCCGCTGTGTACAGGTGTGTGATAGTGACTTTGCCGCTGTGTACAGGTGTGTGACAGTGACTTTACAGTTGTGTACAGGTGTGTGATAGTGACTGTGGCTGTGTACAGGTGTGTGATAGTGACTTTGCCGCTGTGTACAGGTGTGTGATAGTGACTGGCTGTGTACAGGTGTGTGATAGTGACTTTGCTGCTGTGTACAGGTGTGTGACAGTGACTTTACAGTTGTGTACAGGTGTGTGATAGTGACTGTGTACAGGTGTGTGATAGTGACTTTGTCGCTGTTTACAGGTGTGTGATAGTGACTTTGCCGCTGTGTACAGGTGTGTGATAGTGACTTTGCCGCTGTGTACAGGTGTGTGACAGTGACTTTACAGTTGTGTACAGGTGTGTGATAGTGACTGTGGCTGTGTACAGGTGTGTGATAGTGACTTTGCCGCTGTGTACAGGTGTGTGATAGTGACTGGCTGTGTACAGGTGTGTGATAGTGATTTGCCGCTGTGTACAGGTGTGTGATAGTGACTTTGCTGCTGTGTACAGGTGTGTGACAGTGACTTTACAGTTGTGTACAGGTGTGTGATAGTGACTGTGTACAGGTGTGTGATAGTGACTTTGTCGCTGTTTACAGGTGTGTGATAGTGACTTTGCCGCTGTGTACAGGTGTGTGATAGTGACTTTGCCGCTGTGTACAGGTGTGTGACAGTGACTTTACAGTTGTGTACAGGTGTGTGATAGTGACTGTGGCTGTGTACAGGTGTGTGATAGTGACTTTGCCGCTGTGTACAGGTGTGTGATAGTGACTTTGCTGCTGTTTACAGGTGTGTGATAGTGACTGTGGCTGTGTACAGGTGTGTGATAATGACTTTGCCGCTGTGTACAGGTGTGTGATAGTGACTGTGGCTTTGTACAGGTGTGTGATAGTGACTGTGGCTGTGTACAGGTGTGTGATAGTGACTTTGCCGCTGTGTACAGGTGTGTGATAGTGACTTTGCCGCTGTGTACAGGTGTGTGATAGTGACTTTGCCGCTGTGTACAGGTGTGTGATAGTGACTTTGCCACTGTGTACAGGTGTGTGACAGTGACTTTACAGTTGTGTACAGGTGTGTGATAGTGACTGTGGCTGTGTACAGGTGTGTGATAGTGACTTTGTCGCTGTTTACAGGTGTGTGATAGTGACTTTGCCGCTGTGTACAGGTGTGTGATAGTGACTTTGCCGCTGTGTACAGGTGTGTGATAGTGTCTTTGCCGCTGTGTACAGGTGTGTGACAGTGACTTTACAGTTGTGTACAGGTGTGTGATAGTGACTGTGGCTGTGTACAGGTGTGTGATAGTGACTTTGTCGCTGTTTACAGGTGTGTGATAGTGACTGTGGCTGTGTACAGGTGTGTGATAGTGACTTTGCCGCTGTGTGATAGAGACTGTGGCTGTGTACAGGTGTGTGATAGTGACTTTACTGCTGTGTACAGGTGTGTGATAGTGACTTTACAGTTGTGTACAGGTGTGTGTGATAGTGACTTTGCCGCTGTGTACAGGTGTGTGATAGTGACTTTGCCGCTGTGTACAGGTGTGTGACAGTGACTTTGCCGCTGTGTACAGGTGTGTGACAGTGACTTTGCCGCCGTTTACAGGTGTCTGACGCCTCGGGCTCCATGAAGCTGACAGTGGTGAGAGAAGAGAACCCCTTCCACCAGAGCGACCTTCTGTCTGACGAGTGCTTCATCTTGGACCACGGCAAAAACAACATCATCTTTGTTTGGAAAGGTCCATTATCTGCACTTTCAATGCATCATCATTCATTTACCAAAAGTAACACTCTTCTGCTTACTGAAACATATTATTCCTGACCAAAGTAATATGACGGCAAACCTCTTCACCTGCTGCAGCTGTACATAAAGGATGTACTGTACTTTCTGGACTATATGGCGCAACACCTACATTTGAAAAGAAAATACATTTTGCCCACATATAGGCCGCACTTGAATATAAGCCTCATGTTGAAATGTAGCAGGCAGAAGACTGTTTTAACTGGCCACAACATGATTTAGTGAGGATTAATGTGTTTAACAGACTAACCATTAGCTTCCATCACTCTTTCACCTTTTAGCTATTTTGACAATAAACCAGTGTCCTATAGCTGCTGAAAGTTGATTGAGTCCATCTACTCTACCACAATGAATATACACATATTAGCCACATCACTAAATAAGGCGCAGGGATCAAAAACGAGAAAGAAATTGTGGCTTAAAGTCCGGAAATTACTGTACATATATATGAGATCCATTTTTAGACCATAATACCAGAAAAAATATCTGATCATTTGCTACCAATATTGAAACCAATTTATTATTTAAAGTTTCTTTAAAAAAAAAAAAATCATATATACATCATTTTATAATACAAACTTTTGATCTAAGCTTAAGAAGTGTGTTTTCCAGGACGTAACGCTAACGCTGAGGAGCGGAGGGAGGCCATGAAGACCGCAGAGGGGTTTATCCAGCAGATGGGATACCCCGCCAACACACAGGTACCTAAACACACAGGTACCACAAACACACAGGTACCACCAACACACAGGTACTACCAACACACAGGTACCACCAACACACAGGTACCTAAACACACAGGTACCACCAACACACAGGTACCTAAACATACAGGTGCTTCCATCTCACAGATACCTCCCCTTCAGACGCCATCTCCACATCAGGCCACACTTTTTCACCCTTTGTGGATATTTAAGATACCTTTGAAATAAATACAAATTATTTTTTTGGAAATATACAAGTTATTTCTAGACTAATCTTTTGTGTGGCCTTATTCAAAAATGATGTGATAGAATCTGATGGTTTCAATGTGTAGGAAATGACATATTCTGGCAGAGAAGTTCAAAGAAAAATAGTTTAAAGCGTAGAATAATCAGAAATGTTATGTAAAAACAAAGTCAAAAGGCGAATGTTGTACATTTTTTTGTGAAGGGTCATGGCTCAGGGCTCTGCCGCCGGCTAAAAGATGGCTTCACTTTCAGGACTGTCCTACAACATTCTACTGAACTTCAACCAAAAGCTCTAAACCAGTGGTGTCAATTCAGTTTTGCAGAAGTTCAAACCACAGCCTTTCCCTGCATTATCAGGAGACCTCTCCAGTATAAATAGTATACAGACTTGATAACTGACTTTTAGAATGTACAGAACTTGATGACTCCTGTGTGGCCGGACTCAGATCCAGGTGCTTCCGGAGGGAGGGGAGACGCCCATGTTCAAGCAGTTCTTCAGCGGCTGGAAAGAGCGCGACCAGAGCCAGGGTCTGGGCCAGGTCTTTGTCACCGAGAGGATCGCTCAAATACAACAAGTGGAGTTCGATGCCTCTAAGCTGCACCAGTCCCAGCACATGGCGGCGCAGTACAACATGGTGGACGACGGCAGCGGAGACACCAAGGTACGCACACACAAACACACACACACACAACAGTATTAGTGTGTTTTAACCACTATAGCACTGGCTACACACACTCTACCAACTGACCTATTACCACCGCAGACTATATATTATATTCATGACCACAAAGTAAATATTTACAAATCTTCACTGAATAAAGTAAATAAATTATGTACAGGGTTTGAAAAGGGATTGAATGAAGCAAACGTTTGTATTAATCCACACCTCATCTTCTTCCCCTCTGTCCATTTCTGACAATGAGTAACATAAAAAACAATTCAACACTAAAATATTGCATTAAACATAACAAAGTAACACACACACCTTGCAGGCTGACCCAAGCTCAGGAGGCAGAGTTATCTTATCATCACTTAAAACATTTATGTAAGAGATTGACCCTTTACCAAGCCCCTGCAATCAAAGATGACAGCCGATTCAAATCAAAAAGGTTCAGGATGACAAGGGACACTGAAATCCTCACAAAATCTGACCTTTATGAAAGCTGTAGGCTCTCTGTCAGTTGAGGTTGAGCTGTTTTAGTTTCTGGGTGGCCCACATGAATTTAGTCTTATTTACTTAATCCCTGAGCCCATGGGTGGGACAACTATAAGCTAGTGATACCCTGTCCATGCCAATTACATGTGGGCTTGTGCAACTCAGTTAGTGTATTGCGGAAAACACCAACGTAGAAATTTCAAATAAAATATAGTAAATTTACAAATATTTCCTCATTCTTTGGCAGAAACTTTACTCACAATCAAAACAATGGCAGCAATGAATCTATCAGCTACAGCACACAACTCGCAGCTTGCTCCCAAGACACAAAAACACAGGCCTGGATAAACTAATGCTAACCCAAAATTAGCCTTTGCAATTGTAAGCATACAGTCTGTGTCATCCAGCCAACCTCATCTCCAGCAATACAGACATGCCATACCTCATTAATTCTGTCATTGGCTAGAAGCAACATGTGTCAATGATCATGGCATCATCTAACTTCAGCTCCGTCCAATGTGAAACCCTTGTAATCATGCCGGACCTAGTTTAAAACGGCTTGAATCCAGTCAAAACAGTTTCACAACATCCCAAGTCGGGTGAATTTAAGTGGCTCTCTTACTAAATGATTGGAGATTGTGCAAGTAGCAAATAAGCCAAAGTAGTAGTAGTTAGACTGACGGAGCAGATGAGGAGCTCATGTTAAAATCCTTCTTCTTCTCCTCTTTTCCTGTTTAGATCTGGAGGGTGGAGAGCAGTGGGCGAATCCCGGTGGAGGAGAGCTCGTATGGACAGTTCTATGGAGGAGACTGTTACATTATACTGTATACGTATGGCAGCAGACAGATCATCTACACATGGTACCAACACACACACGCACGCACGCACACGCACACACACGCACGCACACACACACGCACACACACGCACACACACACACACACACACACACACACACACACACACACACACACACACACACACACACACACACACACACACACACACACACACACACACACACACACACACACACACACACACACACGCACACGCACACGCACACACACTCATACTCACACTCTGTCTTATTTTCTTTGTCCACCACTAGGTTTTCTGAAGATTACATGTTGTATCAACAACCAAACCCCCGTCCCACCTTAAAGATTACTGCTCTTTCTGCTGTTTACATTTTGTTGTTGTCAAGTTCTTTACAAACAAAGACGGACTAAAGAGAAGCAAGAAATGGCTTAGAATTTAGTTTATTTTAAAGATTTGTGAATGGAACAAGAATCTTTCATTGTGTCGAGCAGACGCATTTTTTTTCATCCTTTTTCAAAATTATAACTTATACTTTATTGGTCACAACCCTCACTAATCAACACCTAATTATGTGTTTAATTTATGGTTTACCAATTAGTCCCTATTCTACATGGCCTTATTCAACCTCTAACTAACTACTAACTGACGCTCTCCCATGTGGGCTAGGGCTTGGGTTAGGGTTAGGGTACACTAATTAGCACTCAATCATCTGTTATGTAGTGAGGCCTAATCTAAATTGTTATTTCTACTTGGAAGAACTGGTTGTACTAAACCAGGGCTGCTCATACCATCGAGGGCAGGGAGGGTAGATCAACATTGGTTTTGCAGTTTTTTCACGAAACGTATTTAAAAAGTGAACATTTCACACACGTTTCACTCTCACCGCTGATCCACATCCACATCCTCACGAGGTGGCAGAGTGGTTTGCGCTTGTCATTCACAGGAAGAAGGTCTCAGGTCTTCCAGGTATTTCTGTGTGGAGTTTGCACGTTCTCCCTGTGTTTGCGTAGGTTTACTTTCGCTGCTCCAGTTTCCCCTATACCACACAGTACACAGGTCTGCTCTTGTATCTCTGTTTTCACTTCCTCAATCTCTTTCTCTCTATGCGGCATATTTCATGTTTTTTTTTTTTTTTTCGTTTTTTTGTGTGTCAATCACATACATATGTTATATTCATCAAACCATGTACACAACATGGTTTCTCCTATTTTACACATTATTTTTTTTCCCTTTCCCTTCCCCCTGTGTGTCCCTTGTGCACCAAAATGACAGATACAGTTTCCTTCATTAACATACAGAGACGGTGCACCTGCGGCTGGTTCACTTCCTCTCGCTCTGCTCTGATTCCACACACTTCCTGCTGCACACCTCACACCTTTAATCCTCTCCTCCGAACCACAATCACGCCTTTATCTCTGCACAAACATGAGAAGCACATTAGCAATTCTTAACACACTCCTAATGCTTCTTTAAATTATCCGACCGCTTCTGTTACAAACTATGGCCAGCAGAGGGCGCCAGGAACATAGTGTTGAATTCAATCATTTATTTCACTGTTTCAAGAGGTCAGATGTTTGTGTAAAAATGTAACCCGTTGTATTTGAGTTTGCTTTGTGCTTGTGAGCCAGTTGAGTCTCTTCTTCACTCTCATTTTTGAATCAACTTTTCTAATTAATTGCAAGTCAAATGTGATTACAAACTTATAAAAGTAAAGTTAAATATTCTTAAATGGGACAGATACTGCATATTTGATAAATGCATATTATTTCACATCCAAAACTTCATAGGGCTAGGGTTAAAGTTCTTTGAGCCACTGCTTTTACCTTCATTGTTCTGGAATTCAAGTTCATTTCAGTTGGAGGCAGGAGCCAACACAATTCAATGTTGTTTTTAATATAAAAATGCAAATGTTTTTCCAGATCATTATTTGACAGTGATTTGATTCACAAAGCGCCACAATATTTTGATGTCTGAAAGTCCTCCATACTGACCAACATCATGCATATAGTATGTTTATTTGGAAATTGTCACAACTTCTAGACTCCTTTATGAGAATATAATGAGACCATAGTTGACATGTGCTGACAAAGTGTGTGTACGTGTCTATTTGTGTGTGCGTGTGTGTGTGTGTGTGTGTGTGCAGGCAGGGGGCCAGCAGTTCTCTGGACGACCTGACCGCCTCTGCGTTCCTCACTGTAGAGTTGGATCGTTCTTTGGGAGGAAACGCAGTGCAGGTCTGAGCACAGAGCTCTCATTCAGTCTGCCGTTTATTCACCGCTTAATGTTAACAATGTCAAAACCGTCACTGCAAGAGGTGTGCAATATTTTAAATCATATACAATGTCAATATTAGGTAAGGCACATTTTTACTGAACCGTATCAGTTAGAAATATATATTTATGGAATCGAGTTGTAATTAGATATGTATTGTATCTAAGCCCTGTTCACGGCTGTTTTCGAACACAATTTACATGTTCTTCCTGGACACCATCACACAACACACTTTAAGTTCAGGAGCAAGTCTTGGTCCTTCCCCTTAGGCTTGTCGTGTTAAACAAATTTAGCAATATTGTCTGCATTGACGTCTCAATATCTCCAATCAAAAATCAATCAATCTATGACGCTGTAGGCGCTAGCTGGTCCTGAGGGGAGGGAACTCGAGGGTGATTGGTTAATGCCACAGGTTTGTTTTCATTGACTTTAAGCTCCAATGGCCCAGCACTGTTGGTTCTGAAGCCAAGAGGCAGATTTATAATGCAACCAACTTATGAAAACAATGAAAACAAAAGTATAGACCATGGGGAATCATTGAAAAGATATTTGTGTAGAAAATATATATTCCTGGTTATGTTTAGGCCAGCAGAGAAGGCCTTGCTGGCCACTGATAGTTCAATAACAATATTCATTACAATAAGCAGGTCGTCATTTTATTTGAATTTCTTTTATCTTTTGCATACTTGACTGAGAGCTGATTGGCGGTGAGTGAGGGTGGTCTTCTCTCTGACGTAAAGATGTGACAGCATCTTTATTTAAATAAATAAATCACTTTTCACTCAGTTGGAAAATCAAAAGTTTTTGTGACTGAGTTTAATAAGTGAATATTGTTTTTGCCACGGCTTGACCATGATGCTCTGGTTCTGCTCCCCCAGGTGAGAGTGTGTCAGGGTAAAGAGCCCCCACACCTCCTCAGCCTGTTCAAGTCCAAGCCCCTGGTGATCTATAAGAACGGGACGTCCCGCCTGGGGGGCTCTGTTCCTCACCCCGACAAACAGCTCTTCCAAGTCAGACGCAACCTGGCGACCATCACCAGGATCGCGGAGGTGAGCAGGTTTAACACAAGGAAACTCAAAGTGTTCAGCCAAATAAGAAAATGAACATTAAAATCACACAAGGCATTAAAATCATAGATAGTTCCAGTACATTGAAAAGAGTCAAGATACAATCTCTCAGTTGTTGCACAGGTAAACAGAACTGTTTTAACCTGGATTTTAACATTGTCTCACATTTTCAGGAAGACTTTTCCAGATTTTAGCTGCATGAATCTGAAATGCTGCTTCTTCTGCTGCTGTGAGCAACTGTTACAGTAGTCTAACCTACTTAAGACAAATGCAGGATACAAATGTCCAAGTCTACATTTGACATTATATTTGTTAATCTGGCAAAGGTGTTAGATGGTAAAAAGATGCAGATGTTACTGATTTGATGAGGCTAAAATTTAAGTCAGGGTCCATAATTAGCCTGGCCTTAGCCAACCGTAAACTACGGCCAATTTAGATTTCCCTGGAATGAAATTAGTTAAATTAATTATTACCCCTAGATATTACAAATTATAATGTGTAATATATTGATTCTCACAAGTATCCAACTCTGAGAGCCGCTGTGACAGCCGGCCCTGCATACTCGTCTGTTCACATTTTTACACATTTTGAACTAATGTGTCTTTTGTGTATCTTCAAACCAGATTACATGCATCCATTTAATTCTACAGAAGTCATATTTTGTTCCCATTTCTGACACATTTGTACTAACACATAGTGGTAGTTTATTTAGTTCAAACATATACACAGTGGTCCCTGGCGTTGCATTCTAAAAGTAACTTGCAATAAGAGAAATCCGCCAGCTGTATTTGTGTATACATTATACACTTTTATATATCTACACTTATATACACTTATATATAATATATACAGTATATACATATACATTGTGTATACTTTATACACTTTTCTAACCACCTGAACTCATGCCTACTGAAATTAGAGAGATCAGAGATATCAAACCTGTTGGTTTTAGGTCTGAGTGCTGCTGCAGTTGTCAAAAGCTGTGCATACACAGAGGACACTGAGGGGCAGGAGCAGGACTGAGGACTTATGGGGCTCATGATTTGTATATGATCTTGTTGGAGTATACACGCGGTACACAAACAACCGTGAAAGGTACAAGCAACACTGCAAAAAGTGAACCGTGTTTTTGTTTTTACATTTAAAACAACAATTAAACAAGCAGGATACACAATAAACAGACATACACAGTTGGATAAGGGGTTGGACAAAGCAGGCGTTTATTTGACTCCATCCCTGGCACACAAACATTCTTCTGTTTCAATATGGTATAGCATCAAATATTCTTTCAAACATAACAGAAACCTGCTCCAAAGCCCAGTGGGAGCCAGAGCCTGAATCAGAGATGCACCATGGCAGTGGCCCTAACCCACCAGAGGGCGCCACAGACCATTGAATCTTTAAATTCCAATTGTATATCAAAAAGCCTACTACATATTTAGATCTTTAAGCGGCTCTAGAACTTTGATATTTTTTCTTCAAATGTTTTCTTCATTATATCTACAACCTATTTGTGTAACTTTGATTTTAGATGGAATTTGTTTGAGAATAGACCAAATCAAAATCAGAGCTTATAGGGTATTGAAACAACGACTTTTAGAGGATTTACTCTTACTTGTTTCAAGGCAATATAATGCATTGGTTTTATATATCGCTTTGTCATTATTCTCTAAGTAGCCACAGATGCCCTGGGGCACATTGACAGAAGCAAGGATAGTATGTTCAATGCACCCCTTCGATCACCACCAACCATTAACACACACACCAGACTCATTCTAGGCAATGTGGGTGAAGTGTCTTGCCTGAGGACACAACCACAGTTTGGCACTATACAGCCGCAGCCGCCCCACTGTTCCCAGAGGTCTCCCATCACTGTATGAACGAGGCCCTGTCCTGCTTAGCTTCAGATTCAGCTTATACAACATGCACAAATACATCTGGTGCAGGCTTAAGTCTCATGTTGCTTTGATGCGTTCGCAGGTGGAGGTGTGTGCTGCCAATCTGAACTCCAACGACGCCTTCCTGCTGAAGCTGCCGCAGGGGAGGGGCTTCCTGTGGATGGGTAAAGGGGCCAGTGAGGAGGAGCAGAGAGGGGCCGAGTACATGAGCCGAGAGCTGCAGACCACAGCCACACTCATCATGGAGGCCAGAGAACCAGGTCTGAGCATCTCCCCTCTCTGCTACTCTGTGACCCAGGCTGTCGTGGCGGGAGCAGGTCATAACAAACCTTTCCCCTCGCCATTCCAGTCTGCAGAACTCTCAACGTTTTGGTATTTCATCTCTGAATGAATTAGCCTGTCAAAAGCCGTGCTGTTTTAAAAAAGTGTAGTTGTTTTATTCCTTAATTTCAGGTAAACAACATAATACCTATAACAAAATCCAAAAAACTGTTTTTCCTGAAAGGTAGTGGGAAGAGGAGAATGTATTTAATCCCACCCCATTTTACATTTACAAACATTTTTTATTACTTCACAGAAAAAGCTTATACCAAAAAGATAAAAGGGGAGATTTAATGACATGAAGCAATTAAAAGACAGAACAGAAAATAACTCATACTCACACCTAAGGAGACAAGAGAGAGATGGGGGGGCTCTGGCAGGCCTCCTTACATGGGGACGTATATTAGAAGACTGAGTGTGAAATCCCCATTGCGTTTGCCGAATCCAAAAGAAGCAGATTTGAGCCAATTTTCTTAAATGAGCTTTGGCGTTAAATATCTGCTGATACTTGATATAAACCGATACCAGAGAAAGGACTGAAAAAAGACGGTATCCCTCAAGTCTTAGCTAACCTAAACCAAAAAAAATTTGTTTTTATTGTGCTACATTGTGCTTGAGTAAAAGTTAAAAGCTGTCGATTTGCTAACACAGATCAGACACTGGAAATGCAATGATAAAAAAACACATAGAGCTATTGGATGTTTGAATGGCAAAAATCCTGGATCATCCCCTCTGTCCTTAGACCCTCCCTCATCTGCAAGGAACAACTTTTTTAAATAAACCAGTGGGATATCAGCTTAAAGCAAACCCCTGACTCTCCGATTTCCCGAACCAGTGTGGTTTGGGTGCGTCCCTTATGTCGCCTCATGCTCTGGTTGTGTTGCAGTGGATTTCTGGGAGGCTCTGGGCGGCAGGGCTGACTATCAGACTTCTGCAAACCTGGAGACTGAAACCATGGCCCACCCCCCACGCCTGTTCGGGTGCTCCAACAAGACCGGGAGGTTCATGGTACGTTCCACACAGACTCACTCTCACTTCAGTCGTATCTCACAGAATTCTTGAGTCACACATTTGTGTATCTTGCATCACTTCTGATATCACTTTGTATGTAATGTCAGCAGCCAACCACACATCCAGTTCAGTGTCTGTGTTGCAAACCACACCTCGTAATTGTTATTCAAAGAAAATTACTACTTGAGCATTGTTTAATATTTATAATTTGTTTTTCTTTCAATTGCACTTAAAAATGTATTGATTCATTTCTGAGCTGCAAGTTATGTTTAGATTGTATTTACAAAACACACCTAAAAAGGAGCTGACAGATCTTATCAGGGCCTTCACCTTTCTCATCCTTCTGTAATCAGTTGACGGATGTTCAGGATCATTTGCTTGCTTACCAATACTTCCAAGTTTAAAACATCTGTTATGTCCAGTTTACAGTAAGTTTTTACTCTATCCCCGTCTTTTTCAACCTCTACTTTGTTTCAAAATATATATATGAAAAAAATGTATATGTAAAACGTATGTCTGTGTGTGTTTGTCTGCGTGTCTGCATATGTGTGTGTGTGTGTGTGTGTGTGTGTGTGTGTGTGTGTGTGTGCAGATAGAGGAGGTTCCTGGAGAGTTCACTCAGGACGACCTGGCTGAGGACGACGTCATGCTGTTAGACGTTTGGAATCAGGTCACACACACACATGCACACACACACAGGAGCACACACATGCACACACACACAGGAGCACACAGATATTAATCATGTTTTCTTTAGCTTAATAAAAAGTATAAAAACGTACAAACATATGAGGTATGAACTTGTATACTAAAGTGCAATGAAACATACATCTGTACAGAAATCTGTAATAAACTACTCTAGTTTAGTCTAGTCTAGGAACATATGCATTGTACACGGTTTTAGCAGCAGTGCTAATCTACAGCTGTAGTCCCTGAGCAGGTTTGTAGTGAAATGGTAAAATAAATGTAGATGGATACATGGCCGTACATTATAAGACAGTTTAAGATGAAGTAATGAGCCAGAATTCCACACTCACACTCCTCTCCCGCAGGTCTTCGTCTGGATCGGAAAAGACGCAAACGAAGTGGAGCGGACCGAGTCTCTCAGATCAGGTCTCACAAACGTCCTCTGTTTTTCTTAAACATGTTTTCTCAAATACAGCCGTGGCTCTAATCGCTCGTATCGCCTTCCACAGCCAAGCAGTACATCAAGTCGGACCCCAGCGGCCGGGACAAGCACACCCTCCTGGTGGTGGTGAAGCAGGGCTACGAGCCGCCCATCTTCACCGGATGGTTCTTGGCCTGGGACCCTCAGCACTGGGACAGCCTCAACCGCAGCATGAAGTCTCTGACCGTGTAGACGGGGGAGGAGCTTACACTGTTTGTTCTTATAACATTAAGATTGAAGAAAATCTGTGCCAATCTGAGCTGCGCTATTTGTCTTGTTAACTTGTATTATTCTCGGCCTATTGTTTATTATTGTATGTATAATGTATAAGGTTGTGTTTATGTGACATCACAAGATTCCAAAGAGCCTGTAATTTCACATTTTGGTGGAGGCAGCTGTAAAAATGGGTAATTCTGGTAACTGTAGTCAGTGTCAAATTCAGATTCTAGTCTTAGTTCAAAGGTAATTAGTTCAAAGGTAATTTCTCTGTAACCCTCAGCCAATCCACATGGAACACAAACAGCAGTCTGAAAGAGACTGAGGGGTCCTGAGGTGTTCCCAGCTCAGAGCTGAGTCCCTCCACTGTGTCCTGGACCATGACTGGAACACATGGAGGCATCAAACAGATGATCGAGCCACCGCAGGGAGACCACAGAGCAGACCAGGAGGGAGACCACAGAGCGGGACAGGAGGGAGACCACAGAGCGGGACAGGAGGGAGACCACAGAGCAGGACAGGAGGGAGACCACAGAGCAGGACAGGAGGGAGACCACAGAGCGGGACAGGAGGGAGACCACAGAGCGGGACAGGAGGGAGACCACAGAGCAGACCAGGAGGGAGACCACAGAGCAGGACAGGAGGGAGACCACAGAGCAGGACAGGAGGGAGACCACAGAGCGGGACAGGAGGGAGACCACAGAGCAGGACAGGAGGGAGACCACAGAGCAGGACAGGAGGGAGACCACAGAGCAGGACAGGAGGGAGACCACAGAGCGGGACAGGAGGGAGACCACAGAGCGGGACAGGAGGGAGACCACAGAGCAGACCAGGAGGGAGACCACAGAGCAGGACAGGAGGGAGACCACAGAGCAGGACAGGAGGGAGACCACAGAGCGGGACAGGAGGGAGACCACAGAGCAGCAGGAGGGAGACCACAGAGCAGGACAGGAGGGAGACCACAGAGCAGACCAGGAGGGAGACCACAGAGCAGGACAGGAGGGAGACCACAGAGCAGGACAGGAAAGAAGGACAGAGCTCTAAAAGTCTGTGTTAACAGGTCTTGCGCTATGGAAATAAACAAGTTCTACCGATTCTCCTGTTTCGTTTGTTGTTATTTTGTCGATCTGGAGTAAGGGATGTCACAATTTCAAATGTTAAAGTTACTTCACAATTTTACAAATATTCACCAAAGGTTTCTTTAGTCAAATGGTTCATAACTGCTTGAAGATGGTACAATGAACAGAAAACATCTCTATCCTTGAGGATTTGTCATAGTCGTTTGTAAAGAGTGCTTTTAGGCAGAGGGAGCGGGGGTTGTGTTTGTGCCAGAAGTTCGGGCTTTTATGATGAATGAAGCTAAAAATAAGGTCTATGATTGTGCAATTAATGTTGAAATGTAGTTTAAAAAAAGAAAAATGTTTTGTGTTGCTTTGTTCCATTTACAGTCACCAGAGGGCGCCACACTGTTGGCAGAGTGGACAGATGTGAGTCTATTACCTATAATGTGATGAAATTCTTCACACTCATGGATCTATTTTAATAACACTCAGAGTTTCCGCTGCCTATTACCGCTTTTAAACCTGTATCATCTGGACTGGACTCAAAAAGTAAAAGTAATTAAACATGTATACCCTCCTGCTCATGCTAAAGATGAGTGGGATCCTTTTTACATATCTCAGGGTAAAGGGTATTGTTCATCTTTTGACAACCCAATACTTATTTCAATTACATAGATTTGATGTTGGCTGCATGATAGTTATTTTGTCTGTATGTGCAAATAATGATGTCAACACAAAGGCCAAATAACGTGCTATAAAGCTCTATCCCTGGTTTCAGTGTGATGCAACAGGACGACTGTTGTCATAGAGATTCAACAATTCACAATAGAAAATTAGATGAATGAATAATGGCCCTTAACATGTTGTATGGAACAGGAACTGAAACCCATGAGTCAATATAATATTTATAAATACGTCTTGTGGGAAAAAACAAAAAAATCAAGTTAGGCCTATATATGGAGAAGTGTCCTTAATTCCAGCGCTCAGACCTGCTGTGAGCGGAAATGTGTCTTGGTATATTTCAGTTCATGTATTTGTTAATTTGGTATTAACTCGGACATTCATTGGATGCATCTGAATTCAAAATTATCTCCTTCCTTGTTCTGCCCAGTCCCAATGGCCCTTATGACACAGGGTTTGCTTAGGTGACATTTGTCACCATTTTAGACCTTAGGGACAAAGCACCAAAGTTATTGAAAATGAGAAAGAAAAACAAGAAAGAATTTTCTGAATTTTAACGGAGAAATTTGAATGTTTGTTTTTTTATTCACAAGCCAACGTACCTTTAATCAATCAATCAATCAAAGTTTATTTATAAAGCGCTTTTCATACAACAAATGCAACACAAAGTGCTTTACAGTTTGGCTAAAAAACAATCCTGCCCATGCCCTCCCCCCGACCGCCCAACAGACCCCCCCCCCCCCCCCCCCCCCCACACACACACACACACACGCACCGATAAAACAATAAAACGATGATAAGAGACTTGGCAGGGTTCAGATGCAACCGGCTGAAGAAACGCCATCCAAGGAGCCGTCAGCGCCAGGAGCAGAGAGCCGCCCATAGCCAAAGGGGACGACAATGGACCCAGAGGAGACCCAAAACCGAGGCCCCGGGCCCCCACCAGGTCCAAGAGTCCGACCCCCACAGCCACAGCCAACCACCGCTCCCAGCGCAGAGGGCTCCTCCAGAGGAAACACTGGGGATACTAAAAACAATACAATAAGTAAAACACTAAAATGTGAGGCTGAAAGGAACTATCACACAAAACATGAATAAAAGCAATAGCAATATAATAAATAATAAAAGATAAATAGAATATATAAAAATGGACTAATAAATACTAATCAAAAGCTAATCTAAAAAGCTAATCTAAAAAGGTGTGTCTTGAGCCTGGCTTTAAAAATATGAACGTTCTCTGCGGCCCTGAGCTCCTCCGGCAGACTGTTCCAGAGACGGGGGCCGTAGTGTTGGAAAGATGCCTCACCGTGAGTGTGTGTCCTGACTTTTGGAATGGTTAGGAGTCTGCTGCCGGAGGAGCGCAGGGGCCGGGAGGGTTCATAGGATAAAAGCAGTTCTGAAAGATAAGAAGGCCCAAGACCATTAAGACATTTAAAAACCATTAGGAGAACCTTAAAATCAATCCTGAAACACACGGGGAGCCAATGCAGCGATTTTAAAACCGGTGTAATGTGGTCCCGCCCCCTGGTCTTAGTCAGGACACGTGCTGCTGAGTTTTGGAGTAATTGAAGACTTGCAATGTTCTTTTTGGGAAGACCAGAGAGCAGGGCATTACAGTAGTCAATGCGACTGGTGATAAAAGCATGCATCAGCGTCTCCGTGTTGCCCCGAGAGAGAATGGGGCGGACTCTGGCGATGTTCTTTAAATGATAAAAACCTATTTTTGTTATATTCTTAATGTGAGGAATAAAAGTCAGCTCAGAGTCAAAAATATAGTATTGTAGTATAATACACCCATGAAATAATCAATTCACCGACAAAAAACTGTGTCTCTACGTTGTGCCTCTATTCATGAAATATTAAACCAGCACAAACCAGTACAGACAGGTAGACATGAGATATTATTTATTTATTGGAATTATAAAAGACTTTTGTTTTGAAGGAAACATAAAAGTACCTGTTACTCTCGTCCTGAGCATTACACGCTGTTTATTGTGAAGAGTCGTGGCGGAAGTGTCTCCACAAGGTTCTCACGTCACGCTCCTGAAGCAGAGAAAGCGCCTCTCGGCAGCGGCAGCGCGCACACGCTCTGAAGCTGCGGACCGGCGCACACGCACAACTGTTGCAGACACTGGGATTTTTATTATCACTATGTTTTACAGAATAATCTGAAGGTAAGATGTTGTATTTATTATACCCTCTCCTTGTTTGGATTATTTTATTTTTATAAATGTGCACTTTCTGGGTTGGTTTTTTACAGCACGTTTCGCCCGTAAACAAGTCCTAGAATAACTGCGTACAGCCGCATATGGAACACACAGAGGCCCCTGCTCTGTGTCTGTACTCTGTGCTCTGTGTCTGTGTCTGTGTCTGTGCTTTGTGCTCTGTGTCTCTGCTCTGTGTCTGTGTTCTGTGTCTGTGCTCTGTGTTTGTGTCTGTGCTCTGTGTCTGTGTCTGTGCTTTGTGCTCTGTGTCTCTGCTCTGTGTCTGTGTTCTGTGTCTGTGCTCTGTGTCTGTGTCTGTGTCTGTGCTCTGTGTCTGTGCTCTGTGTTTGTGTCTGTGTCTGTGTTTGTGTCTGTGTCTGTGTCTGTGTCTGTGCTCTGTGTTTGTGTCTGTGTCTGTGTCTGTGTTTGTGTCTGTGTCTGTACTCTGTGTTTGTGTCTGTGTCTGTGTCTGTGTCTGTGCTCTGTGTCTGTGCTCTGTGTTTGTGTTTGTGCCCTAACCCTGCTCTGTGGTGGAGACACTTGTTGGCTTTATATAGACATCAGATTGCAGCCTGCTCCAGCAGGAGCTGTCAGCGGTGTTGCAATGACAGAGGACAGAATCCAGATACATAAATGAAACTTCTTACGCCACGTAACAAGTGCGTGATTCCCTCGTCTTCACTGTCCTTGTTTCACTCTTCACCCACATGAGGGAGCGGTCAGCGGCTCCAGCACAGACACAGCCACAGCCTGTATCTATGTTTGCCTTTCTGACAATAACCAAATGTGAGGACCTAGTTCCATGAGGAGCAGAGTGGACATGACGCGTGCGTGCGCTTTGAAGCCAGTCTTTAGTGAAGCTCCTTCAGATGGAAATGTGCCTCCCATAGTCAAGCTGTTGCCCAGCAACACATTTAAAGAGATAGTTCATCAATCTTTCCATGTGGCTATTGTTCAGTCAGTTTAGGCTAAACTTTATGTCCATGCAAATGAGAATCTCACTGAGTACTGTGTTAGACTCAGTACAAATACTAAGGCAACATTTATACTAATACTACTACTACTAATAATAATGATAATAAATATAGCACTATAGATAGCACTTCATGTTAACTATTTTTCATACTTTTTTTTAAATTTTAAATTTGCTACCAAATATGTTTTTATTTTAAATATTTCTACTACTTGTGACAAATATATAACTTTTTTCAGACTATATCTGTAAGTAGGCCTCTTCCATGTGGGGGATTGTCTATTAGAAGGTTAGAGCCGACACTTGTAGGACCAGTGTCTAATGTAAGACCGTGTTGTTTGAATAACCAGATGATAACAGCCATAAATGACGACACCTTTGGCCATTGCCACACGGCCTGCTGACGAAAATAATAAACATTCCACTGTTTACAGCTGTCATTAGGTCAAAGCAGTTTGTTTGCTCTGGTGAAAACATCTTTTAGTCGTCTACTTAGAGATGTGTATTCCATGTGAGAGCTTTATCCTGTATCCTTGCCGTTTACTGAATAGAAATCAGACATTCCCTCTGGCTACATGTGCAAATTAGCCTCTCCCATCCCCACTGTTCCACTCCTCATCCACCTCCCGCTGCTCCTAATGCCTGCATGTGTAGTCCAGGATTATTCTCTTGTTAGTTGGCGCTCTTTGTGAGTCAATGACCTGTCTGTGTTGTTTCACTTATGTATATTCTCCTGACCCTCCAGGCTCCCGCTGCAGTGAATACCAAAAGCCTACTTCAGGATCAAGAGAGGTCTTCCTGTTTTTCAATCAAGATGGGGAACGGCTTATCCGACCAGCCTACGTTCTTCTCCTGCCTGCCGTCGTTCCAGTCCTTCCACATCGTCATCCTCGGCTTGGACTGTGCCGGAAAGACTACCGTGCTTTATCGGCTACGCTTCAACGAGTTTGTGAACACCGTCCCAACCAAAGGGTTCAACACAGAGAAGATCAAGATTTCTCTCGGGAGCAAGCGGCGAACGGCTTCTTTCCACTTCTGGGACGTTGGCGGGCAGGAGAAGCTCCGCCCCCTCTGGCGATCCTACACGAGATGCGCCGATGGAATTATCTTTGTGGTGGATTCGGTAGATACGGAACGCGTAGAGGAGGCCAAAACTGAACTGCACAAAATCACCAGGCTGGCAGAGAACCAGGGGGTGCCCGTGCTGGTGGTGGCCAACAAGCAGGACCTGAGGAACTCTCTGACTCTCGCCGAAATGGAGAGTATGATGGCGTTGGGCGAGCTTAGCCTGGCCACGCCTTGGCATCTGCAGCCGGCGTGCGCTATCATCGGCGAGGGTCTCCAGGAGGGCATGGAGAAGCTTCACGCCATGATTAGGAAGCGAAGGAAAACGCTGCGGCAACAGAAGAAGAAAAGATGAAAATTTCTCAGTGACTTTAAGGAGAAATAGGTGTTGTTTGTCGAAAAAAGGAACGCAATGAGGTCGTCATTGTCTCAAGCTCTTTGAAGTCGACGTGGGAGTTTCCCCGTTGGGGTCAGGACGCTGAGCAGGTCTGAGGAACTGAGCAGAGAAGACTTCAGCACGTTACTGTGACAGCAGTGAAGTACATGGACTTTGTTACTACTTTGATATATGTGCTGCTTCTATGTTCTGAATCAATCACCAAAGTGTTCACAGGCTTTTTGAGCAGACGGATCAAAGCTGTGGCTGTCGTGAGTAGTATGTGTGAGTTTGGACTCTGTTTACACCAGTGCCAATGCTAATTCTATTGATTCACTGGGAATAGAAAGCACATGACCCTAAAACACTGTTTGAACAGAGGATGTTGACCTGTGAGCAGGCAGACTACAGTGACCACTAAAATGACTGTCTCAGTATCAGTATTATTTGCACAAAAGTTCTGACAATCTGCTCGCTGCTGAACAGAATACTGTGAGTGGGTAGGCAGAGTACCAAAAGTATTGGCTGTTGTTCAGTACCGTGCACCTTACGCTCGTGGCTCTGAGTTCAGTCAGACCACAGTGTGTAGCTCTGTGATGAGTGTGGCATGTGTGAGTGGCAGCAGCAGCTGTCTCAGCAGACTCTACCTGCACTCAGCCTGCTCTGGCCTCATGCACTTTAGCCCTTCTGCTGAAGAGGGCATTCTGGGTCTGAACAACACAACCATTGCTTCAGAGAAGCACATTATATATGTCTGCCTATCCAGAGACAGAGGAGCTGAATCCCAGTGGAAATGTGTTATCGCTGACGCTGACTTTGTGTAGCAGTCAAAATGACTCCAGTGTTGATCCTTGTTCACCTGAATAAAGCTGACTACATGAAGAGTGTGTGTGTTTGTTTATCAGTAATGGAGCTTTACTCTGCTTTATCTGTGAGCGTGACATCAATCACATCAACATTGTTCTCCTGTGGAGCCTCGTCATGTGACACTGCTTAAACCACAACATCTGATGTGACACCAAATCTCATTTCTGTTAGGACAGCTAATCTCTCTGAGATAAGTGAAAGAAGTGTGTGAACACTGAACCTGTGTGAGCGGAGTGGAAACAGTGATGCTGCCTCATGTTGCACATGTCCTCACACACACACAACATTAATTTATGTACAATTTAATGTACAATTAAACATTGTTAAAAATTAATTCATTACAAGTGACAAGAAATGTTTTTAATACATAATTAAATACACAGGTCTTTTCAAGAAACATTTGACATGTATTACATTATTTCATGGTGCGTTGCATTGTGGCACTGTCAGAATCACTGGTCAAACTGGGAAGACAGGACTTCCTGTGCTCTGGGCCAGTCCCTCAGAGTCCTGCGCACTGGTCAAAGCTCTTGTATAATATTCGATTGGATCTGTATGTTTCAGTGAGTTGTTGGCTTTAGCAGAGGGGGTTGGCTTACTCTGTGGATCAGGGGCCAGGTGCTTCTGTTGTCTCAGTCCGTGTGGCCCCAGGATATATGGCCAGCCTGAGAGCCCCCAATGAAAACCCAAACCTGCCCCAAGCCAGACAAACAGCCCAAATAAACAAACTCAACATCCAGCACCTGTAGAAGAAGCACAGACATAATGAAGAACCCAGTTACATAGAACCACATGTGACTGGACACATGACCAAAGCGTGTGTTTTAACACTCAAACCCCTGGAGCAGTCAAATTGACAGCTTTTCATTTATGTATGTTTTCTGGTCTTCATAACTTGGTGACTTTTGCTTTATCTATGTATAGTTTATTTGTAATTATGTTTATGAAATCATCTTCATCCTAGACTGGTTCAGAGAAATCTCAGCTTGGAACGAGTTCTAGTTATCATAGCAACGCACTGTTTACTTGACAGCCGTTAGAATTTAGTTTTGCTGTATTTCATTCATATTCACCAGTTTTAGCATGTGTTAAAGATAACAACGTATAAATCACTTCATTTAAATAAAAGCAGTTTTTTTTGTTTTTTCAGACGTCAATTGATGTGAATGGGAGCCGTCAAAACTCCCACTGCTCTGGGAGTTCTAGCAATCTCCAAATTCTGGGGGTCGTTGGGTTAAAAGTCAGCAAATGACCGTCCATGAGGCCGTCTGTTTTAGAAATTGTTGTTGGTTATGGAGCAGGAGGTTTGGACAGAAGGGGCGGGGGGGTGGGATGTTAGTACCATTTTCTGCTTGAACTTCCTGATTTTTGGTTTGATGATGATAAAATAAACAGCACCAGATCAGAGTTTGGTGTAGGAACAATATTACCGTGTTTGGAGGTTTCATGACCCTTTGAAGCAACTGCGGTTAAAGTTAAACTAATCATTCTTACAATATGCACAAGGCAGTACTTTTCCACTACAAGTTTTTGTTTTTTGAAGGCCAAACAATGCTGATTGGACGGTCTCCATTCCTCCATGATTTGTAATATCACTTGCATTGTTTGGCCTTCAAATAACAAAAACATGTAGTGGAAAAGTACTGCCTCCGTCGACAATAAAACATGTCTTATCTCTGATCTAAAGACACAATCCCCTTGGACAATATTTTGCACCTCAACACCAGAGCCCACCAGACCTGTGAAGGTAAGCAGGGCAGGGCCTGGTTTGTACTGTGATGGGAAACCTCTGAGAACACCACACACCAAACGGTTGGTGGTGGTCGGACCGGTGGCACATACTGGTTTCCACACTATTGGCAGTCTCTACCAGAGCAGCTGTGGCTAGGTACTATTAAATAATACCATGTGAGGCATCTTTGAGTGTCCAGAAACAGCAATTTATAATCATTATCTTAACACTGAATGAATTCTTTAAATGACCTATAAAGGGGCATTGATCTGAAACAGGAGTGTGTATAGGTTGGGGGCTGTCAGAAGTGGGACAGCCTGACTCCCAGCGGGGGACTGGCCCAGAGCAAAGCCAGGACTGGGACTTAAAAGAGACTGTTCAGCACATGTTTATTTATGGACCGTGCTTCTAAAGTCGAGGGAATAGTGAGAAACATACGCCTGAACCGACGTCAACATTATGAGGTGAACGACTTATTTTTATTTTTGAGGTCACAGTATAAATGTAAGAACCATAATCTAACAAATGTGGTATTTCTAGGAGTAAAAGCAACCATCCATCCATCCATCCATTTTCTACCCTTTAATCCATTTCTAGAAGCAACCAATTTTCATTAAATATAGTTCCCAATGTTCTAGATAGACAGATAGATACATTCTTTATTGATCCTTGTAGGAGAAATTCAGGTGTCCAGAAACACATCCACAAACAAATAAATAGATCATTCTAAAAATAACTAAAATGCAGTTAAAATGCAACAGCTCTTTAGGTCACAGCAGCAGAGGTGGAGTAGCCGTGGTTATTTACATCTGAATAAACAAAGTTGCATAAGTTTGGGGCAAGCATTTTGTATGTAATTTGGGATAAAGTAAGGTTTAAGATTGAGCTCGCCTCCTGCAGGATGGAATACGAAGGTTTTAGAGAGCCCTGCAAATACGAAACGTTAAAATCTGCTCGTTCCATTTCGGTTATGTGTACCTTACAACATGAAAACCTGCGGATTGCTTTAAAGTTTAATCTATATTCAATTTAGCCGGTGCAGCATATATGTATACACACACACACACACACACACACACACACACACACACACACACCCTCTCCTCTCACACTCCACCGCTGGCCATGTAACTTCACATCTATTCGAGTACTCTCTGCAGTAGTTTTTCCACTCTGCAGGATGTCCCGTCCCTCCCCGCTTCCCTGTGGCACACGTCAGCGCTGGCCCCTTCTCATGCCCCACATTGGGAGGAGGGGGAGAGGGGGGTCTGTGAGGTCAGCTCTCCCCCATCGGCCGGACGTCCTGCACCAGTGTGGAAAAATCGGTGTGTTGAAAGTTCTTGTTATCAGTGGATTATTTCAGATTAGTGGCATGAGAACGACACGGTTTGAACAGCCGATTTACACACTTTAGATGAACATGGACTGCTCTACACCAGGGGTTCCCAAACTTTAAGACCAGGGCCCCTTTATAGCCATGCACCCCCCAGTCTAACAATACAACATTGAGAAAAGTAAAACTATTCAATGGGATGATGGTAAAAAGGGTTTTATCTCTTCTTATTGAATAGTTTTGTGTATGATTACAACAAATGTCACTGCAGTTTTCAATTTAAATCAATACAATTATGGAGGATTCTGAGTGCAACAGTTTAGCAAGGCACATTTATTTGTGTAGCACAGTTCATACACAACTCAAAGTAATAGAAACAATCACACAAATAATGAAAAATAATAATGGTCGCAGTGCATTAAAAAGAGTAAAGACAGAATTGTTTTTAACCTGGATTCTAACTCATAGAAGAAGCCTGTCTCACATTTTCAGGAAGATTAATTAAAGGGACAGTATTTTCATTTTAAATTTCATCTAAATGTGTCTTCAGGTCACAGATCATATTTGCAAATCTCATCTGACCTTTTCTGAACAACAATTGAAAGTGGAATTATTCTTTGTTAAAAATACAATACATTTTTATTGTGTAAGGATTTCAAGCATTATCCAATCAGAGATATGTTAGCTACATGTGATACTACTGTGCATGTTAGCTACATGTGATTCTACTGTATATGTTAGCTACATGTGATACTACTGTATATGTTAGCTACATGTGATACTACTGTATATGTTAGCTACATGTGATACTACTGTACATGTTAGCTACATGTGATACTACTGTGTATGTTAGCTACATGTGATACTACTGTATATGTTAGCTACATGTGATACTACTGTATATGTTAGCTACATGTGATACTACTGTATATGTTAGCTACATGTGATACTACTGTACATGTTAGCTACATGTGATACTACTGTGTATGTTAGCTACATGTGATACTACTGTATATGTTAGCTACATGTGATACTACTGTGTATGTT